CCGACCGTTACTCCCGGCAGGGGGGGTCTCACTTGGCTTGACGCCGTCCGCCGCGGCTCGGATAGTTGCTATCCGGTTCTTGGCCCGCATATCGCCCTGGTCCGCGGCTTTCACGTACCAAACATTGGCTTCCAGAGGGTCGCGCCGGCAACCGATCCCCGTCTCAGTAAAGTATCCCACTGCGTATTGTGCTTTGGATAAACCTGTAACCACTTAGTATCTCATTGAATATACCAAAGAACAGCACAACTCACCAGTATCGGCCGCGCGTTTGGCCCATTCATATGCCTCAGCCTCGTCCTTCTCCAGAATAGGCTCAGCCCCAATAAGGTACCAAGCACACAGTGCCATCATAGCTAGAGGATGTCCACCCTGTGCAGCGGTAGTATAGAAGTGGATCGACAAAGCAGGATCTCGAGGGCAGTTCAGCTTCCCGTGTTCGTATGCGTCGCCCAGGCGATAGCTCGCCTCGGCATGTCCCAGGTCTGCCGACTTGGTAAATAGCTGAGCAGCATAGGAAGGATCGAGGAAGATGTCGTCGCCATAGCCCGTCTCGTGTAGTAGGCCGAGCTCGTAAGGGCCGGAGTTGTACTGGTGATCGGCTGAATCGGTAGCACGTTTCATCCACTTGATACCTTCCCGGTAACGTTTTCCCAGACCCATGTCGCCTTCCAGGCAGGCTTTCGCCATACGTATCATCGCACCTGGATGGTTCTTGGATGCCGCCTGTCGGTAGAATTGCTGGGCTCTGGCAGCCTCAGCCTTGGTGCCCCAGCCAAACTCATAGCAAAGTGCCGTCCGATAGCATGCTTCGACGTGCCCATGCTTACTAGCAGCCACAAACAGAGTGAAGGCCCGATCATAGTCCTCCTTTCCTTTGCCGAACAAGCCCGAAGCGTATCCATCGGCGAGATAGTATTGCGCGAAAGGATAGCTGCGGTCAGCAAGACGCTGTAAGATGGACTTCGACTCTTTGAGGAGGCCATCGCGCGTGATCTCGGCCGCTTTGGGGCCGTATACGGGAGATGCAGCCTCAGTCCCGTCGGTGGGCATTTCCAGCATCGCGTTTATCATGAATATCGCAAACTCATACTGGATCGCAGAGTCGTCTGTTTTCTTGACGTTGGCCAGATACATATCAAACGTTTGCTTGTGACTGAGTAGCGACGCATTATTACCGATAGACGATTGAAGGTGGGAGTTGCCAAACTGCACCGGAGCCGGACCGGGTTGGGGATAGAAACTGTTAAGCTGGTCGACAAAGGACACAGGTCGAACGTCTGGAGATGCGCTAGGGTCCCTGGGTGATGCGCGTGCCTTGAGGTATGGAGACATTTTCCGTCCTTCACCCGCATCTGAAGCAAGCGAGTATACGGATTGGGTCCGACGCTTGTCCGCAGGGCGGCTGTCCGACCTCGGAAGATTGTCCCCCGACTTGGCTGCAGATGGAGACTGCACTGGTCCCGCCGTCTCGTAGGGGCGATGGTGGTAGTGCAAGGGTTCGCATAAGTCCGATGTCTGAGCAGTGCTGTCAAGACTGGCGCGTGAAGAGATGGATTGGTTGTCCTTTGGGGTGTGTTGATCCAATGACGACGTACTGGCGTTTGGTAGACTGCTGTCCTTTACGTGAGGGTCCACAACTGACCAGGAGGCAATACCAGTGGGCGTATGTCCATATCCCGGAGCTTCCGGCTCCCGCTGGGACCCATAAGATGTCCGGTTTGTAGATGACCCGTTGACATTCTTCCCGGGCGTCTCGGGTTGACCGGAGAGGGATAAATCGGAAAGAGCGTCGGTAGGAAGTGAGATAGCATAGTCATCGTTGTGGAAGTCCTCAGCTACCTGATCATGAATCCTCACCCGTGGAACCGAGTATGACTGGCTTTCCGTGTCATCGTGCGGAATTGTCGGAGATGTGGGCAACGGCTTTCTCGAGACAACCATACTCGGTGGGCGATTGAAACTGGCCCGCTTGGGGAATTCACGAAGCACTGGGGGGATTGGGGGAATTGGAGGGGAAGACCGGATGTATACCGGAGGCGGGGAAGAGGGCGGCTGGGGATACCGGCCGGCTGCAGAGATGGCCATTGGAGCTGCGTTTCGCTCGGGGACTTGATGGATATTAACGGACAGATTGTTCCGAACTGAAACAGTCCCACACGTTATAAGACAATCCGAGCGCTATGCATTGAACATGAAGGCGACCGTGAACTGGAGCGGGGTGGGGGGGGGGGCAATGTTCAAAACGAACGGAGGGGCAAGACGACGATGAACGAAGGTTGCGACGCGAGCTGGTTATCAGGGATCGGAAGGGCAGAGAAGGGACTGCGAGATGTGGAGAAGCTGGAGAAAAATGGGTCAACTGCGCGAAAATCGGATCCACCGGAGAGATAGGCATACCCTGCAAGTCTCCTGCCAGAGACGCTAAACGACGGGTCCTGATAAGAAGTCGCTTCTGGGATCCATCACGCAGGCTACAGGCTGCGGGACGAGAAGGCGCCAAACGAGGGAGATGAAAAGGAGCAAAAGAGCGAGCGAGCGACGCAAAAAGCAACGGAGGCCAAGTGGGATGGCCCAAGAGTTGGGGGGCAGACCAAGAGGAGATGCTCGGGAAAAGAGTTGCGCCTAGCCGTGCTTTCGGGCTAGTGGCGTACTATGGTACTATGGTAGAAGGCCAATACGGGGCTAGTACCGGTACTGGGCCGCCCGCACTGGCAACCGTGGTTACGGAGACGAGAGTACCTACCTTGGGTTATGGGTATCTTTGGGTGCTTTTGTCCCGCCGCCAGTCACGGGGCCTGGGGTCGAGCTGCAGGCGGGCAGAGGCGAGTAGCCCAATACTAGTAAGTACTGGCTGACAGGGGGCCAAAAATAGCGAGGCTGGCTGCATGGGATCCGAAGGGACGCTGCTTACGCTGCCCGTACCATGTGTCTCACCCGGCACGCCCGTCCCACCCTATATATATCGCGCCAAGCCAGTGTCAGGCGATGGTCCGCACGAACGCTGAGTCGGAGACTCGGAGGGACACTTCACAGCCCACCCTCGAAAAAGGACCTATCACTCAGCCTGCTTTGCAGCCAGTATCCAGTACTCCGTACAGATTAAGGTACTGTCTTAAAATCCTAGGCAGCCGGATATCGGATGTCAGCGCCAGCCGGAGCATAAACCTCGCTTGGCGCCCTAGTATGCGAACCTGCCTCGGAGTACCCCGTACTCTGTATGCTGTATGGTATGAACAGTCGTTCTTTAGTCCTGCAGGTGCCATCTTAGTCGGTACTGTACTTGTTTAATGTGAAACCAATAAAGCAACGGCTGTGCCTCCGGCCCTCCACTGCAGCCAATAACTGGACGCCTTCGTCGGCGTGCTCCAGCCAGAGAAATAGACCACGAACACGTCAGAATAACGCAACGGAAAGAATAGACGAGGGATCTTATGCCTCCTTGACCAATCTGGACGCCATGCGGCCTCGGCTTTGAAAAACATGGCGGCTAGCATGGACCCTTTCCGTTTTGGCGCCAGCTGGCTCGAAACGAGAGGCGTCCCCGGTGGCCTTCCTCTAAAACGACAACATCGCATTAGGTTAAGCATAATCACTTCTCTACTGATTCACACAACACACATTCCAGGGAAAAAGAAAAGTAAATAGATAAACAGACTCGTTGAATGCCATCGCATACAAGATGACATGGCCAGTCCCAGCGATGACGTAACGGCAACCGAGGCTGGCGCCAGACGACTTTCGGCCGCCGGCAGCCCAGCCGAATCCCCAAGAGGGAGGCTGGTGGCCATGGCGGAATCATCGGAGGCCCTCCGGGCAGCGCGCTGATTGGTGCGCATGGGCAGGGGCCTGGTCGGAGTGGCGCCCAGAGCACCGCTGGCGTCGCGCCGGCAGGACCGGCTCCTATTGGTGCGCACCTGACCTCTCCTCGATGCTGCCTCATTCTCCCGGCCATTCCCACGCACTCTCGGACTATCCACGCCGGTTGGTTACACCGTCGTGGATGATCACTGCATCGAGAGGACAGCATCGATGTTGCCGGTCTCTTTCGCTATGAGGATGACGTGCCCTACAGAAACAGGTAATGCGGTTGCACAAGCCGCGATCTTGAAACAATCCCTGAGCCGTGCTGCAAGGCATCTGCGGTCCAGATTGAACTTTCTCCTCAAGAACAAGGGTGTATCCAGGATCTTCTGGGCTTGCGTTTGGGTCAGGTAGCACAGGTAGATCTTCTTCTGGGGTGGGATATTCATGATGACGCTGACAGTGTACCTTAATGCCTCATATTATTGCTTTGCAGCAGGATCAGCTTTGTCGTTTTGTCCCAGACAGCTTTGCTTGTTACAATAATGACAAACTATTGATCCTAAAGGCATTTATCTGACCCGTACTAGTAATCGGCCTTGGGGTCCAGAATCTGTCTCCTACGGAAGTTAAATCCTGCGACACACATAAATAATGACCCATATCAGAAATAATCATGCATCTAGACCACTAGTTATGTGCCTAATATATGCTGGCATATACTTTAAATACGCCATCACACACTCCACGCCTTGACAGGTCCTCTCTAGAAAGCTTATATGATCCTCCTAGCTTATCGTTGTCGGATATGGGATGCCCTATCAGCACTAGTCATTTTACTATTTTTATAGGAGAGATAGGTTATATACTGCGAGGGTTACTCTACTATTCTAAGGTCATTAAGATCTTCCTTGAACAAGAGAAAGCTGAGTTATCCGTGGACGGATGTTCATATCTTATAGATAATCAGAACCCGGCAAAAAAGACATGAATCATTAACCAGAATACTGATTATCAATTCCCCAATTAAAGTTCGAGGTGTCAAGTCCATCCCAGCCAGCGATAGATCCGACCCTTATATCAATCAATGGCAGGGGGAGAAGAGACCCCCGAGCAGGAATCAACCACGATCATGACGATCTACTTACTACCAGGCAACCTACCCACTTGACCGACCGCCAATACGTAAAAAATCATGACAAGAGTGGGATTCGAACCCACGCCTCTTGCGAGACTGCAATACATTCATTTTTGGAATGAATAAGAACACGGGTCACGTGGCTCTTGAGTGCAGCTCCTTAGACCGCTCGGACATCTTGCCGTGCTGATAAAAGGGGTATGATGTAAACGGAAAGTTTTGCCAATTTGAGATTTGGGAAGAAGCTCCAGGCTGTGAAATGTGCTATTCCGGGATCTTTAGCGGGTTAAAATGACTATCCGGGAATCTCCGGAAGCTGTATCTGTATCAAGTCCGGTGAAAAAATGCATATCCAATCACCCGAAGAATGCTTCAGTTCTCTGGTGTTCACCAAGAGATGTAGGAGGCTTGTAACTCCAACTAAAGTTTCTCTTTCCTGGAGGAGTCTTGCGGTGGAAGACCTGCCTCCTCTGGATACCCGGGATCGAAGCTGGTCGTCATAACTTTGATTGTGATTTCAATTAGCTGTAACCCTGAGAGTAGTCAACTACCATTGAAGACACTTCGTCCAGAGAGAGAAATGTTTCGGAGCAGTTTGAATCCCACTACCAATCCGGCAGGAGTGGCAGTGAAGCTGATGGATAGGATGACGAAGCCCATCACTAGCCGGGATGATTCCTTGGTTATAACCAAGGGAAGCTTCAATATTAGAGGATATTTTCTGCTCACTGCTCATGTCGCACAAAGGTCTATTTTTATAATTTCGGAGCTTTGTTGGATTGGTAGATGGCAATGTATAGGTTGCGTTGTGCAGCTTGCATATTCTCTTCTTCTGATAAGTCCTGATCATGGCAAAAGGGACTTCTTGCCTCACGAAAGCTGGCTTGAAAAAGCTCTTGTAGTTGGGAACATCTTGGTATATGCTGTATATGCTTTCAGTCCCCACCTTGTTTGGTATCTGAGGACCACAAAACCCCGATCCAACTCGGAAAATATAGTGAGGCCCATATTAAACCCGAAAAGGTTTTGATCACAATATATCAATAACCAGCATAGAGCTTGAATTTGGAGGGCTCCGTGAAGTCCTTTCTCTTCATTTTTGACTTGAATCTCTGCGTCATCACTCGTGGTGTATTGTTGCTGAGCCATTTGCAGTGACATCGTACATATGGGGCTGTGTAGTCTCACTCATATGCGCCAAAGAAAATCCGTATATTGCTTCCATCGCACATAGGCGATTATGAAAGATTATCTATCCACAGGATAAGTTCGTACCACCGCCAAGTTCACATTGCTTTCGATTTTGAGTCAGCATTGATCCCCGGGGATAATTTGGTGACGACTGTATATGCGTTTCGTGGCAAGACGGCTTTCTGAATTTAGATATTTTACTTTGTAGTTGTAACAGGTCAATCTGAGTTGATGAAGACACCTTTAGTATTTTGAAGAAATCCACTGCGGACTTCCAATTGCTCCAGGGTCAAGTAGAGTTGTTTTATCATCGTGTTAATCTGTGATCGGTAAGGAATTAATGTGAGAATTGGCGAGAGACGGGAAGATCAAAAGCTCGCAGAGGGGCTAGCATTCCTGCGAGTGGCTTGAGTATGGATCATCATGCTGTACGCAAGCTGATTTGGGGCGGCGGTATATGATTTAGCCACGCGAGAGTAAAAAGCCAACGCAGGCAGATGATAGGTAAGTAACGAGGGAAAGAGGAAGAGGTGGAAGAAAGAAGGCTAGCGCGAGCGTGGCCTGTCCTCGTGGTTGTCGAGGTCAAGATCGACTGAAGTAGTCCATGTCATGGCTGGCTACCTCGGAAATTGGATGTAGGAAGTGATGTGGGAATGATAGATCATTATGAGGTAGATGGGAAGGAGGGGAGAAGTAGCCGGCAGGAGCACAGCGCAGGATCCTAGCTTGAAGCTTTAAGACATCGCCCTGTCTGCCTTGGCACATGCAGGGGCATCGTATCGTATCCAGGGCCGCTACAGAGGACCTGCATCCGGGATCCCACCCATCCTGCGTGAGGGTTTAATCTGCCTGGGATCTGTAACCGGGCGGGGAGCTTAGTTAGCCAACTCCCCTGGGGCCGGGTGTCACGTAGCAACTAGCAAGTCCCCAGAAAAGCCTCGATGACGCCGCGAGTGGGTTGACAGGGCTGAAATAATTTCCGGTGCTGCGACGTGAAATGAGCAGGAGATGGGCGAGTTCCACCGAGGGGCGGAGGGCGGGCATCGTCAAGCAAGGACGGTCTCAAGTTTGGGTGGGATTCAGGGGGGCTTTATCTTATCGGACCCCTATCGGGCAGGTTGCTTGCATTGAGCAGCAGCATTCAGAGACAGCGATGAGGAAGTTGCCGGGGACTCCAGAGTGTGTGTATGTCCATGACTGTGTACTCCCCCTGAACCAGACCGGCTGCCAGACGGCGTGGCCTGGGGCTGATACGGGGCTCTCAGCACCACCCATGCCAAGGCAGCCCAACGGTGGTGGTGGCAGCAGCGATTGGCCAACAGGGCAGCCGATCGGGAAGGAGCGACCGGGGCGGGCGAATGTCACTCGCCGGCTCCCCAGCGCCCGTCGATCTGGACCCCCAGGGTCCCGCGCCGATCCCGCCGATTGCTGTTTCGAATGGCCCTCGGCCCCCTCATACTACTTACCATACATACTATGATGTACTTACGGCCATCAGGCACAGGGCGCAGGTACACAGTAAGTACTGCACAGCACACCGCAGCAGGTCTCGCCGTCTCCACCGCCCGGTCGACCATGACGCCCAGTCCGCGCCAAACAGGCATCGATCGGCGCCCACCGCCTCCCTGCCGACGCCGCGTAAATAAACCGTTATCCCTCTCCGGCATCCCTGCTGGACCAGTCCTTTCTTCTACTCCTCTTCCTCCTCTCCCCTTCACGTTCCTCCTGCTCGATCGCCATTCCTCGTTCTTCTGCCTCGTGCCTGATCTGGTATGTGCCACGCCACGCCCCCGTCTCTGTCGCCAACCTTCGTCGACCTATCTCATTGTCGGGGAATTCCAATTGTCTGCTTCAGGAAAGAAAGGGATGATCTGAGCTAACCCATCATCATTCTATGTTCATAGTTCAGCGAATCCATCCAACCTTGACCTTCTCATTCCATCACACCCTCACCACTTCACCTCCTTCACATTCAAAATGCGTTTCTTGGCTGTCATCGCTCTCATCGCCTCCGTGGCTGTCGCCAGACCCGCCGAGAACGGCATGTTCAACACCGAGCTTTCTTGCATCGGAGTGAGTCCTTCACTATCCGCCCGTTTAACCTCATGCAAACAAATCACTAACGAGGACCAGCTCAACGACAGAGCCTGCATCGGAAACCTCACCAGCGGAATGGGCTGCTGTCCTCCCCTCTACTGCGGCGCTGACCACGTAAGTTCTCCTCCCTCCTCCACACCACAAGACTTGGCTAACATCGGTGTCCCCAGCGCTGCCACTCCTACCAGTAAATACGACGCGTGTCGACCACGTGGAAATAACCTTAATGAATACCTCTGGGCATGGGGATACATAATGTGGACGCGGGGATCGAGGAACTGGGTTGATGTCGGATAAGACCAACTGGTTGTCAATGCAGACCGAGCCGTGGTTTGCGAGTTGTACTTGTCGAATATCACTACTAATATGTGTCAATACTTGAAAGCGCTGTTTTACGCACGGGTTGAAGGTGTCGGATGGGTACCTAATGTGCAATAAATACATCACTTCATCTTACTTGCTGTGCCATCATCATTATTATACAAACTTGCCACTGTGAGGGATAAAGACTCATTCACTGATGAGGAAATTCTAGGCTTATTCACCTCTTCCCCTACAGCAGAACAATAGTTGATTTGCTGCCTGGAACAATGAAAGCTTCTACCGAACATCCTCTCAGTCTATTTCACACCATCTTCCTACAACCACCCCGAAAACGAGATCCCTCGTCAATCACACCACTGCCTTCCACTGCCGCTGGACAAAAATGTCTTCACATCTGCTCACTCTCCCTCTAGAACTCATCCACGAGATATGCTCCTGGCTCCCCCCCAAGTGACGTCGCCTGCCTGTCGCTCTGCAACCACGGTCTGCGCAACGCCCTCGGGGCCTCATCCTGGAAGAAGCTCCAAGATAACCGAGAAGAAAACCTGGACTCATATCTACGGCAACTCTCCAAAGACCTCCCGGACCAATTTATCTGCTACAGCTGTATCCGTCTCCATCCCACCGCAACATTAGGACCACCCCATGTATGAAAACACGCCCCCGCGACCACCAGCCTCTATTATCGTGTCCAGAACAGAACCCCAAGATCCCTACATACGGCTCACCACCTTCCGCGCTCTCTCGGGACTTTTATCCTGAGGTTCTGGGTCGATATCCGTACACCTTTCAACACAGCCTCTTGACTCTGGCCATGAAGCAACACTACCACGGCTCTCCGCATGGAATATCCATCGATACACTCTCTTGCCTCTCGATTCAAACCCTACCACATACGGCCTCCTTCAAACTACTATCCGTACAACCCCGAATCTACCCCGATAAAGATTCGGGAGGGAGCGCCCGCCTTCTCCTCCAGATCCAAACTTGAAATATCGGATACGCGTCGTACCCGTATACTTACACCCGCTTCCACACGGGCGCCGGTGTTCGTTTCGACGGCGACTGCAAGGATCTAAATAAGGCTTCCGTCAACAAAGGTTACATTTCAACTCCCCTCTATCGGTGCACCGTCTGCCCAATGGAGTTCTCTCACCAGATATGCGAGTTTGGGTCGAATTGGGACGAAACGGCCGTGATTACCACAACGTGGCTGGATCTTGGCCCTGGGCTGGACATCAAAGACCCGGAATGGGCAGACTTTGGCCCATGCTGACCCTACCACGCATCCTATTGTTCAAAGTGCATAGCACCCTGTGCCGTGAGTTTGAGGAAGTAGGCAAGCCTTCATTCGAGACTGTTACTGTAACAAACGAGGGGCTTTTGTTCTAGTACGTGAGGGAGGCGAAAGCAGAAGAGAATAATAAGGATCATAAAATATTGCGGGCACGGAGCTGATAGCGCAGTCGGTTGGTCAAGACAAAGCCATGAAATTTATCAAATGCTACTGAGTACTTGCTTGCTACTGCTTTTTATTAAGTCCACTCCGTACATGTTTTTTTTTTTTTTTT